CACCTTGCGAGGAAGGTGTGCTTCCAGGAAATTCTTATCTCTCGAGCTAGGACTAAACAGAAGTCTCCCTGGTCTCCATAAGGGCTGTTGTTCTCACTTTGGCTTCTGCCCAGGACAGCCAGTTCTCTGCTGCTTGCAGAACTGTGTTTGGAGCTCTGCTGGTGACCGTGGTCTCTGAAGATCCAGGTGATGTGGGCTGCACCCTGCTGAGTGACCAAGTCTCTACTAGAGAGCAACCTATTCCACCTAAGGGCTGTAACCTCCCTGAGGGTATCTATCAATTAGGCTCATCGCTTCCCTTTATTCTACAACAAAGCTTAGCTTTGATGGGATTAATTGGAGCATGAAGACATCAGAGAGACAACACAGCAGCATTGAGTTAACAGTTATTCATCATTCAATAAGTACTTACAGGTGTACCAGTGGGTGAACTCCCAGCTTTGGCACTGGCAGGCTGTGTGATGTTGGTCATGTTTCTTAATCTCTCTCATGACTCAGTTTCTTAATCTGTAAAATGAATATAATATTAATGTCCACTTAATCATGACAGTTGGGTGCAATAGCACATTCTTATAATCCCAGCCCTCTGGGAAGCTGAGGCAGGAGAACTGTAAATTTGAGCCCAGCCTGGGCAATTTAGCAACTTAGTGAGAACTTGTCTCAGAAAAGGGGTTGGAGGGAGATACAATTCAATGCAATGGCCCTGGCTTCTAGCCACAGTACTGCCAAAAAAGGGGGACTATTGTTATATTTGGATTGGTTAATATACGAAAAGCACATAAAAACTTGTCTGTACATAGTAAGTGCTCAATAAATAGTATCATTTATTTTATTTATTTACTTATTTTTGGTGGTTATATTGAGCCCAGGGTCTTCTCATTGGCTATGTCCTTATATCATTTTTATTTTGAGACAGAGTCTCACTAAATTGCCTAGGTTATGAACAGTAAGTTTTAATGCTGCTGCTATTACTATTATTAGTAATATTATTACTGATATCATTGCTACTTGTACCTCTACTTTGTGCCAGGAACTCTACTAGATACTGAGAAGATGGCAGTGCATGCTACAAATACTGTCCTTGCCTTTGTGAAGTTCATATATTTGTAAGCATGGGAGAATTGTAATAAATAGTAAGTTAAGGAAAAAAGAAAAACACCTCACAGAGTCGAATTCAGATTGTGACAAGTACTCTGACAGAGACCCAGCTTGGGCAAGAGGAGCCACTTAGAAGAAGGCCAGGGAAAGTCTCCCTGAGCTGATGATATATAATCAAACCCTGAAGGGTGAGAAAGAGATGGCAGAAAAGAATAACAGAAATAAGCAGCAGCATATATGTGGAAGCTGTAGAGAAGATGACCCATGCACAACAAGAAAGGCTCACATGGCTGGGGCTGGAGCAGAGTGAGGGAAATAACAGCAGTAGTAGCTAGAGCTCTCAAGGTGCTCACTGTGTCAGACCCCAGGCTGGGTGCTCTGTGCATTTACTTACTCGTCTTCACACAGCCTCAGGAGAGGCCCAAGCCACGCCTAGGTCGGTCCTGTCCTGACTGTTTACACATCTCTGTCCCTTCTTGCTTCCTGTAGAATGAAACTCAAACATATGATTTATATCAACTTAAAACAATATTATGTCCTATTTCTCAAATGATGAACACTTAAGTTGTTTTAGTTTGGATTTTGAATTCTCCCAAAGGGCCATGTGTTGCAGTCTTGGCTGCCAGCTGTGACACCATTGAGAGATGGCAGAACCTTCAGGAGGTAGGGCCTGATTTTAGGAAGTTAGGCCATTGTGGGAGTGCTCTTGAGGAAGATACTGGGACACCAGTCTCTTCTTTCTCTGTTTGCTTCCTGGCTTCCATGAGGTGAAAAGGCCTCCTCTGCCACCCTCCCTGCCCCCATGGCGGGCCCCAAAGCAACCTCTCAAACTGTGAACCACAATGAACCTTTCCTCCTTGTAAGTTGATCACTGCTGGTGTTCTGTCACAGAGATGGAAAGCGGACTGACACTTAAACTAGTTCTAACTTTATGCAGTGACAAATAATTCTGCAACAAACACTGTTACCATTCAGCATCCAGTCAGGAAAACAGAAAACCTCCAGAAAACCCACTTAAGCCAGAGGGGACTGATGCAAAGATTTGGTCAGTGATGGTATGAAGGACTTGAGAGAAGCCAAGCAGGAGGAGAAGGTAATCCAAGGATTGAAAACAGCAGGAAGAGGCACCATCCCAGGGCTAGAGGCACAGAAGAAGTGATGTGAACAGAGTGCAGGAGCCAGCGTCCTCAGATGGGACCCAGGCCCATGGAGGAGAGCTCTGGCAACAAAATTCTTCTATCTTCTTGCCTTTTTGGTTTCCACCAATGCCTCTCATTGGCCAAACCTGCCCCAAATCAGGAGACTTGCACAGTTCTGAGACAGAACAGAGCAAGGAATGCAGGAGAGAGCAAAATGACGAGATGCACACTTTTTTGTACAATGGTTGTTTTTCTGGCACAGATATCAAGCATTGGGATTGCTGAACCATAAGGCTCATAGATCTTCCTGATGCACTCCACCAAACTGCTTTCCAAAGTGACTGCAGGAATGAACATTCCCACATGCACTGTATGAAACTTCTTTTCAAAACTCCAACTCTTGCATGTTGGAATCTGGAGCTCCCTCCAGTTCCTTCCCTCTCAGGCTATGTCCCGAGAGAATTTGTGAATTAAACTATATTGTTTTAATGCTCATTGTGGCCCTAAGTCCTTGGGGCAGGTGAGTACTAGGTATCCCTGGTTCTCTTGGTGCTCTTCCTGACTTGAGCTGTACTCTCAAAAGTCCTTGTAACCAAAAGGTCATGTGAAATTTCACCTCTCTAGGACCTGGCCACAGCATTTTTAGTGGTCCCCAGAGGGTAGGTGCAGGTGTAAGGAGTGGAAGAGGATTGTTGGTATATTTCAAAAGTTGTCAGCCAAACTCTACTTTAGCATCTGTCTTTGATGATTCCTGGCAACTTCTTGCCTTGGGTTGTATTTGTGCCATAGGAACACAGAGCAGACCTGCTATATTTCAGTGGAAGAGTTATCTGGAATCATCCAGTGCCAACCTCTAACAAGAAGGAAATTTGAGGGGCCAGGGATTTAGCTCAGTGGTTCCACCACCTGCTTCACAAGCACAAGGTTCTGAGTTTTATCCCCAGTACTAAACAAACAAACAAAAAAAAAAACAAAAGAAGAAAATTTGAAGTTCAAAGAAGATAATGGTCCTGTTGCAGAGCTCAGCCAGATCTGGAAGTAGGGTGTAAACTGGAGTCTCTGAGGTAGGTTGAAAAATCTATGCCCCCTACCTCATACCAAGGATATTGTTATCCTAGTCCTTGAGAACCATAGATGTTACCTTACTTGGAAAAATGGTCTTGGTAGGTGTGATTAAATTAAATATTTGGGGACGAGGAGGGTATTTTTGATTTTCTGACTGGGTTTTAACCCACATACACACATGCACACGCACACAAAAGAGGTGATGTGACCACAGAAGTAGAGAGTGGAATAAAGCACCCATTTTCCCAAATGTGTGGAGGGCGGCTCTGCCAACACCTCAATTTGAGCCCAGGGATACAAATTTTAGATTTCTGGCTTCAGAACTTTGAGAGACTAAATTTCAATTTTTTTTAAAATCTGTAAGTCTGTGGTAGTATGTTATAGCAGCCCACTTAAAACTAAAATTCTCTCTTAGTTTCTCATTCAGTATATCAGCTTCTTCGTGCTTTCCCTAACTGCTCATTTCCTTTGTCCTCTGCACAGAGGAAGTCAGAGTGGGCTTGGGATTTGTCTTGGACACCCCTGACTTGAGGGTCCAGCCCAGGACTTTCCTTTTAGCCAGGCACCACATTTCACATTAACAGCCTGGTTCTTGCAGGAAGAGCATGAGCTGAGATGGAGATGTGTGCTCCACGGCTGCCAAAAGACTGGAGGTTGTTGGGTGTTATAAAGAGATGTGGCCAGGACTAGGAAGTGCGGGAGACCTGGGCTCGGGTCCAAGTCCTGCCTCTAGTTTACTATGTGACTGCTATTATTTAGTGCATCCTCGCCCTCCAAACTCATGTGTTGGCATCTTAAGCCCCAAATTTGTACATGAATGACATTTGTGGGTGGAGCCTTTGAGAGGTAATTAGGAAAAGATGAGGTCGTGACAGTGGGACTCCCATAATGGCATTAGTGACTTTTGAAGAGGAAGAGAGACCCAAGCTAGTGTACCTGCTGTGTCTCACCATGTAATGCCCTCTGCCCTGTTTTGAGGTAGAAAGAAGGCCCTCATCAGATAGAATCCTGAACAATATAAACCTCTTTTCTTTATAAATTATCTGGTCTGTGCTAATTCAGTTACAGCAATAGAGAGAAGATCAAGATAGTGACCTTGGGTAAGGGCATTCGTATTTTTGGACCACCACTTTCCCCAAACACAAAGTCAAGAGGTTGATTAGATCAAGCCAGCAGCCCACATACCACTAGTGGGATCTGAGATGACTTCAGGATGCCAAATGGCAAGTTACTAAATAAAACTGAATTTCAGAGTCAGAATTATTCCCTTTTCAATTATGGGTCAGTTGTTTCTTAAGAAAAATGCCTCAGTTTGGTTCTGATACTTTTGGACCTCTGTTTATCTCTAGTCTTCTTTTTAATTAAAATTGGAGCAGATTTCAGACTGAAAGATTTTAGCAAGTGATATCACCTAGCCAAGTATAATAAAATAGTTTTTTAAAAAATCAAGTTTCTGCTTTCAGTTGCCTCTATTTTTGGCAAAGTGTGCTTATCTTACATTTATGGTAGAGTATCAGCCGGGGTAAGTTATATTGTGTTAACAGTAACACAACTATCTCAGTGGCTAAATACAACAAGTTCTTTTACTTTTTGCTCATGGAAAGTATGCTATGGGTTCAGCGGCCTTAGAAACTCCAAGACATTGATTCTCAATTTCAGCTTTCATCAGATTCCCCTCAAAGATTTACTCAAACAGATTTCTGGGCCTGGTCTGTGGAGTTTCTGACTGAATAGGTCTGGGATGGGGCCAGAGAATCTGTGCTGCAGATTCCAGGGACTGCTGATGTCACTGGTCTGGATACGGCACTGGGAGAAACCACGGCTCTACGGCAGTTCTTCTCCTCTGGTGACTCAGCAGTCTAGGCTCAAGGTGAATCTTTGAACGTCCCCACCCGGAACACATGGGCTCGCAGAGGAAGCAGCAGCGGGATGACTTCCAAATGCCCGGGCCGGCGGTGACATGCGCCACTTCTTCCCACGATCCATGAACCAGAGCCATCACCAGGAGCCACATGATTCCAGGCAGTGTGTGCTGCAGGAGTGGGAGGTGGCAGTGTTTACAAATTTCCCGTAAAAATTTCTTGAAGCAAAAAGGTAAGACTTTGGAGTAAAAAACCCCAATTAAATACTTTTGTCCCTTTCGTAAATACTTGGAGAACTTGGCCCCAGATAGCAGCCTCTTGCTTCTCATGAGCATCCTCCACATCTGGTAACTCTTTCCCCGGAATCTCCCATGTCTTCTGAAAATATAATGTGGGATGGATGGAAGTTGTTGGTGGAAGTTGTTTGTTTGGATGGAAGAGGTTTGTTTTGGCCGGGTTTGGTTTCAAGAATTGGGAATGCAGCCAGAATGTGAGGGTACTTCACGAAGGTGGAGGAAAGAAAAGAGAGATGAGGGGGGATCCCTAGCTTTTTTTTTATTATCCCCCCCATTTCTTCTATTTTAAAATCAATGATAACTTTGGATCAATTTCTGTCACCAGCATGAATAAGGCAGCTTTTCAGGCACTGAGGTTGTTCGACTCAAAGCTCTGCAGTTTGCTGTTGGCTCTGGACTGCTGGTCCATCTGTCAGCCCAAAGAGAGAAGCTGGGGGAAAGTGATTGTTGGCCCAGAAGCTGAGCATAATGGAGATGATTTGCCTTGGTTTGGAGTAGGTTCACACTGAAATTCTGTTTCTTCATCCTACTATAGTCTAAGAACAAGTAACTTTGTCATTTATTTCTGTGCTCCTTCTGTGCTTTGGACAGCACTGTCTATTACAGCATAGAGAGTCACAGGGCATTAGTGGTAGAAAAGTCAGAAGCCCAACTGCCCTAGTCTGCTATAACCAATTACCATAAGTTAATAAGTTTAATAAGTTAAGGCAACCAACATCTTGCAGTTCTGTAGTTTAGAAGTCCAATATGGGCCTCATTGGACAAAAATCAAGATACCAGCAGGGCTGCATTCCTTTCTGGATGCTGCTTGGAGTCTTTGGTTCATGCCCCTCTCCCATCTTCAAAGTCAGCAATGCTAGTTGAGCTCTTCTCACATCACATCCCTCTGACCTCTTCTTTTCCTCCTTTCCACTTCTGAGGAACCCTTTTGACTATATGGGGCCCGCCTAGATAATCCAGGCTACACTCCTTATGTTAAGGTCAGCTGATTAGCAACCCCACTTCTCTGTTGGCTGTACAATGCCACAATCATGAATTCTAGGGATTAGGGCATACATATCCTTCGGGGCCATTCGATCTTGCACACTCCTGGAGCATAATGGCGCACCTGAGGCAGAACAGGAATATATCTAATGCTTAGTATCCTTTCCACGCTCTCTGTTTTCACTACACAAGACTACAGCACTGTAGTGTAAAGTGTGGGCTTTGGTGTCAGATTCTAGATCTAACTCACCTTTACTCTCTGTGAGAATATGGGAAAATTACTGAACTTCTCCGAACCTCAGATTTCTTATCTGTTAAATGGGGATAACAGGACCTGTTCAGCCTCAGGAAGAAGATAGAGCATGGAAATTTATGAGAAGTGATTAGAAATGCTTTTAGGACACTGTCTCAATAAAAGGCATCACATGCCATGACTGAAATAGAGCGTGCTTATTCCCCACAAGACCTCTTTTGAAGAGAGAATATCAGGTATTATGACATGCTCTTGGCTGAGTGGAAATGGAGGCTGAGAGAATTTGAATGACATCTGGCCAGTGGTTGGTAAATACACCAAGGAGAAAGGTCTTTGATGGTAGGCCATGGCACTCTACCATTTTGTTGAATTTCCATTAACAACCCAAGGAAGATGATCATCTGATTTTTTTTAACATACACTAGAGAAAGAGATCTTTTAATATTTTTAGGAGTCTTCTAGCCCCCACACTCAAAATATTTAGCTACATTCCTAGTATAAAGTTCTCCAAGTTCACTGGCTTCTCTCTTGTATAAAACACACCGTGACTTACTGCTAAGGTGCTATTCTTCCATGCAATTTAAAGCAGTCATTAAATCGTCTGCCCATGGACCCATATCCACGGCTTCTGTACAATATTCCTAGTGAGCTTGAGTGAAGTTCGCTGTAGAATTATGTAGACATAAAATCTGTTGTGGTATTGTATCTTTTAGGTAGAACAATAGGCATTTATTTGACCATTTAAATATCCAGATTTATGATATTTATTCAGGGCATATCAGGCATCATTGGCCATATCAGGTGGCCACTTTGGATCGATGTCTATCATCTGTACACAGGGCAGCTTTGCAGGAACTGAAGTTGTTAGTCTCAAAGCCCCACAGTCTGCTGCTGCCTCCAGCCAACTGATAGTTTTTGAGTGCCAAGTGGCACTCCGTGTTGTTCTGGCATCCCATCCTGAGAGAAGAGAGGGTGAGCCCAGTGCTGCTTTCCTAGAGGAACCAGGCAGACAAGCCCCCTCCTCCAGCGAGGGGAGCTGTTGGAAGAGAGCTACCAGGAGTATTTGCTAAGTGAAGTTATTCTGCATAGGAAGTCAACTGGTGAGGAAGAGGAGCTCTTTTCCAAGAATTAGACAAGAGGGAAAGAAGATATAGTCAGATGCAGCCAGTTCTCTGGGAATTACTCACAGTCTGTATCTCAATAGCCTGTATACAAGGGCTGATCAAAAATCATAGCATGGCTTTTAATACAATTATAACATTAAAATATACATTGCCATTAATCCCCCTCAAAATACTTCCCCTTACTTTAGGCTTATCCTATTATTTTTGCCCCTTTCTGAAGCAGTTCTGGGAGAACTCCTCTTTCCTGAGTGTCGTTACAAAGTGTGATAAAAATCGGATGACTGCCGCGATTTGTGTGTCAGTCAGCGGACAGGCAGGCTTGTGGAAACATTATGGTGCGTCCCCATCCACCTTATTCATCGGATCTGGCACCATACACTTCTGGCTCTTCCTCAAAGCCAAAACGACCCTAAAAGTAAATGTTTGGAATCAATACCAGTGAGAGGAAAGGGAAGGACTAGGCAGAGCTAAAATTGGAAGCAGGCTCAACAGACTCTCGTATGCCCTGCGGGGAGCTCAGGAGTATGACCTTTCAGTGTTACCTCACAGAGGGTCAAAGTGGCCAGACCTTTGTGACACCGCCTCCCTCGGCCAGTATGCTTTCTGTAGCTGGGCAGACCCTGAAGGAGCCTGTAGTTGGGAAGCAGGGCCTGGGAAGCTCCTGCCTGCCATCCTCCACCTGCTTCTTTAGGTTTGATTCATGCCCACTTGCTGTGGTTTCCAGCAGATCCCTTGCCTTCTTATACCCTAATTGCTGTCTGAAATGCCTCTTCTGCTATATCATTATCATTTTTCACGACTCAGCTTGGGCATCACTTACTCCAGGAAGGTTCCCCGAGCCCAGGTTGAGCAGCCAGCAACCTTCTGGGTGCTCCAGGCACAGAATCCACATTGCTAAACGATAGAAAGTGTTCTGTAGACAGACCCATGCACAAGGGTGCCATATTTACCCTTGTACCTAGAATATCTAGTAAGGTCCTGGTTACATGGCAGGTGTTCAGCAGGTGTCCGTCCTCTTCGCTCTGCAGCTGCAACATATCCTGGCCCAGCAGCTGTGCAGTGGGTGCTGAACTTGGTAACCGGTGGGCCGTGTTCCGTGTTGTGGTGCCTGGGACAGAGTCTTATGCATTATATGTACTTTCTCGGGAAATGTTATTTTTAAAATTGGAGCCTATCTTCTCTCGCCAAAATAGCTTCAACACAGGATCTGGAAGTAGTAGGACACTTGCCAGGTATTGCCAGGTTCAGGGTCAAGCAAGGTCTTGGAAGGCATTTGAACTAATTTCTTAGAAAAGGAAACCACCAAGGTCAACGCCCTTCTGGATTTGCTTGTAACGACCCTGAGTTGATAAAGGTAAATGAGTCTTAGACTATTAGCTCTTTAAAGACTTTGAGAGTGATAAGTGTGGACAAGTGGGGAGAAATGCAAATAAAGGTACTGGGAAACGTTGGATACTCTTGTTTCCTTTGAGCCCAGTTCCATGGGGATAATAACTAGTGCCACAAAATGCTCAGGAGGAACCAGGAAGCAACAAGATGCCCACCTACTCACCCCAGATAGGCATGGAAGTTTGAAAATAAATACTCTTGGTCTACTGGCTGGGCCTCAAAGGCCGCAGAGGTGAGATCTGACGTGCAAAAGGGAATCAGAAGCTTCAAAACAGCCAAACAGGAAATGGAAAGGCCTCTTCAATTGTTCAAGGGCAAAGAGGAAAACCAAAGGCAGCCTCATCTTTCATCAGCCACTCACTGTGGGGAAGGGGAGGTTTCTTAAGGCCTCCTTGTAGCTGGCAGTGCAGCGAGCTGCTGCCTCTCACTCCACAAGAAAGCCTGATTCTATCAGATGTTAACTTGGGCTGGACTGGAATCACCCGGGATCAAACCAAAGCCACAGTCATTTGTTTGGAATGGACTGTCTTCTCTATCCATCCTTTTTATGTGTTGGTACTTCTTAGATTTTGTCCTGCTGCAGAGGCTCACCAGGTTTAAAGGGAGGAGTCCAGGATCATGTTCTGTGAGCTGGGAGTAAAGATGTGATTTTGAACCAGTTCCTGTCCCCAGTGTGCTGGTGTCCAGTTTATGAGACAAATATGTTCTGACCATGTTATCAGTAATAATCAATACATTATCAAGGCCTTACTCTGGATGGGTTATTATCTCATTTGTCCCTCCTAAGATGATAATGATAACGTCCCTGTGGCACCCACAAAGCAACTGAAGCTCAGAGAACCTACCTACTTATTAAAAGTTATAGAAAGTAAATACATGGTGAAATCAGCTGAGGGTGATTTTGCGCCTTCCTTTTCCCAGGGGACCTTGGTAATATCTTGGTGGTTGTCACAGTGTGGGATGACAGCAAGGGTAGAGGCCAAAAATGCTGCTAACATCATGCAGTGCACAAGACAGCTCTTACCAAGCTGTGCCCCAAATGGCAATGGTGCTGAGGTTGAGAAAGGCCGCCGCCGCCATTGCTGGCCACTGTATTGCAATAAATCTTCTGAATTCCCCCAACCTTGTCTTGCTCAGCCCAATTCCTGAATGTTTTATTCACACTACTCACCATAATTTACTACTG